TATATAGACTAGATCGCTCTTACCCGCTTCGCTGAGTGTATGAAATTTCTACGTGCTATATTAGATGTAATTTATTTTAATTAAACTCAACATACTGGAGTCCCTGCTATACATATGTTGCTTAGAAATAAAGCCTTTTCAAGACTCTTCCGATTAAAACATAGATTGTAATAACTCATTAAACTTATAATATAATTGTATTTGAATTTAGATTTATAACAGGCGGCAACCCTCTTCAAAGACCTCAGACAACTCTACATGTTTAAACTGAACATTTCTAATTAAAACTCGACTTTTAAAACAGGTGGCAACCCTCTTCCAATTATTTTCGTACTAAAACCCTATTAAATCCCTCTTGTCTGACGTCCATATTGTGATACATATTCCAATTATCAAATTCCTTTAAATCAAGAAGAATTTGATTTTTCAAACAGACGGTAACCCTCCTACATGTAGTTTAGAACTAAAACCTTATCAAAAACTTTTGATTGATACCCATATTGTAGTAATTCATTTAATGAATTTAATTTTTAAACGGGTGGCAACGCTTGTAAAACACGTCAGTAATATTTTTACTGTTCAACCTGAAGGTTTTTTAGCCATCTTTCATTTGACACCCATATATATTCAATTTGGCTTTTCGAACAGGTGGCAACCCTTTCAAACTACAACTTTTTTTAGCCTCTTGTCATCCATTCTTTAATATAATTTTCAAATAAATAATTCCCTTAATTCAAGTCGAATTTGATTTTTTTCGGCGGCAGCCCTCCTCCATGAGTATGGAATGATTTTTATATACGTATATGTATCTATACCAAGGCCCTGTACTCTATCAAAAAAATTTTCAGAGATATGATATGCGGTATGAAAATTCTGTTTTATGGGAGGTGCCACGCCCTCTCGTATAATCGAGATTAAATCTATCTATATTTTAAGTTAGGCTAAATGGCACCAGTGTTCAAAATTTAATGCAAATCGGTTGAGTAGTTAAAGCGTGAAAGCGTAACAAATAAACAAACTCACTTTCGGATTTATAATATTAAATAGTAAGAAGTAAGAATACCTCTATAAGCACCTACCATAGATATGTCTGTATACCAAATTTCAAGTTCATATGACTTATGGTATCGAAGTTATAGCTGATAAAAAATTCCACGCCTCCGGGAAGTGCCACGCCTCCTTTAACAAACTCATTTATATATATCTTATTATAAGCATCTACCTTAGATATGTCTGTGTACCAAATTTAAAGTTCATGTGAATTATGGTTTCGAAGTTATAACTGATAAAAAATTCCATGCCTACAGGATGTGCCACGGCCCCCTTTTATAAACTCATTCATATGCACCTTACTATAAGCACCTAAACTTATTCATATACACCTTACTATAAGCACCTCTAGCTGATAAAAAATTCCACGCCTCCGGGAAGTGCCACGCCTGCTTTTACAAACTCATTTATATATATTTTATTATAAGCATCTACCATAGATACATATGTACGTCTGTATACCAAATTTAAAGTTCATGTGAATTATGGTTTCGAAGTTATAACTGATAAAAGATTCCATGTCTACAGGATGTGCCACGCCCCTTTTATAAACTCATCCATATGCCCCTTACTACTGTGCTTGCATACCAAATTTCAAGTTCATGTGACTTATGGTATCGACGTTATAGCTGATAAAAAATTCCACGCCTATGAGATGTGCCACGCCTCCTTTTACAAACTCATTTATATATATCTTATTATAAGCATCTGCCATTGCTATGCTCGCATACCAAATTTCTAGTTCATGTGACTTATGGTTCCGAAGTTACAGCTGATAAAAAATTGCACGCCTGTGGGAGGCGCCACTCCTCCTTGTTTATTTATTTATTTTTTTCTCCCTATTATAGGCCCAGGTGTCATGGCAATACTCTGTCAAAATTTCGATCAATTATGTCCATCCGTTTAGGCTGCAACCTGGCACATACATACATACATACATACTTCTACAAATATATAGTAGATATCTATTAGTTTGGAGAGTCTCAAAACAAGATTTGCTACTAATGCTCCCTTAGTAAGGTCCTTGCGCGAATTCAATAATATTACTCATATTGTTGCAATTGACTTTGCAATTTCTAAGTATGCTTTTATAAATCTTTTGATTACATATTTTTAAGTGTATCTTAATACTTTAATTTAAAATAAATCTAATTTAAGTTTAACTAGCTGTAAGAAATTCTGTTTCAAAGACTAAAATGAAATAAATAAATAAATTATCCCAGTGTATAAGAATTTTAGGAATATCTCGTCCACAATGCCACCTATCGTGTACATTTTTAGTCCCTATATTTATTTTCAATTGGCTGAATTGTATTCTAAATATGAGCCAGATCGGCAAGAAAGTGCAGTTTTTAGGATATTCCGACCCTAGCGCCACCTAGCGAGTGCATTTTTGGTCAGATTATTTCTTTTCTAGGTGCTGACACATGTTCCAAATATAAACCAAATCGGTCCAGCCGTTTAGTAGTTTAGTGACATTAATTACACGGAAAACTCTATGAAATTGTGAAATCGTGACGTCTCGCATCCTTCATTTTTCGGCAACAATAACAAAAAATTTCAAATTTTTTTAAATCGAAAAACCTTCCACACAGAATGTACAAAAAAGTACTTTTTACAGAATTGAAATCGGTTCACCCGTTTGGTCAGGCATCGCCGTCATACGGAAAACATTTCATTTTTATATATCTGTGTTCGTATGGAAAAGTAGCTTATGTCGAAAGGCTGGCTTTAGTATAAATCGGCATTCGCAGCATACGATTGCGAATGACTCACTGGTGCTGAGCTGTTGTAGAACTTTTGGCAAATAAACGTGCAAGAAGTAGTTCCGATACTAGCAAGTCAATATTCTTATTAAGTCTCATCAAAAAATTCCTTGCCGTTTATAGAGTAAAGGGAATGCCGCATTATACTAAAGCCAGCCTTTCGACATAGGCTACTTTTCCATATGAACACAGATATATAGATATCACAATTAATGATATTTGTTGTTTTTTTTTAATAAAAAATTAGCATGAAGGGCTTTGAATATGTAGCAAAATTCATTTTGGGGGAATTTCATTGAAAATAGGGGAATTTTTTCAGGAGTTTCGGGAATTCGCCCTAAGAGAGTTGGCAACCCTGATTCGTAATCCAATTCGACATACAAAATTCTGAGAGCGAATTACTTCATTTGTTTATAATTCAGATCCAATTACCATGCGAATTACGAACAAATCGCTTCCGCCTCCTATTTTAATCGGAAATTTATCGAGACCTGTTCCCAAATCAATACTGGCACTTTTTCTGAGTGCTAAAAGTAAAGTTAATAAATCTGTACATCACCAATCTAATATAGAAATTTATAAAATTTTAGCAATAACTTATATTTTGCATCAATTTTATAGCGAAGAAAAAAGAACCAAACACAAAGACAGGGAACTGTCAAATCGAATTAAGAATGTGCCCGTGTGAATGGGGTAATTCGCGATCGTTATTGCCGTATAAAAAACGTAAGCCCTACCTATTCCACTCCTCTAATACGCTGTTACCTTGACACGTAAGTCGCTCTCCCAATCGTAATTGGCTCTCTCATTCGTAATTTGCATTCCAAAAAAAAGAAACTATTTCTTAATATTATTTACGTTATTGTAAGTAAAGAGCTTCTTTAATACTACTTTAGGGTTTTTATAGATGATTTAATGAATATAGCAAAAAGAACGGAAGCAAAGCTTGAAAAACTATAAATGACACCGTGCGACAGTAAATTTTACACACAAAAAAATGAATATATTCGCGAAACTATGGGTAAATTATAGTAAAACTACGTACTTAATTTTTCTCCCTGACGTCAGAATTTTTTAAAAGGGCTTTGAAATTTAAAAAATATGATTATTTCAAACAATTATTTAAAAAATTTAGTGCAATGAAGGATAACAATAAGGGCATCATATAAAAGAAAAATTTCTGTAGGATTATAACAGAATAAATTTTTGGCGCATAAGCACAAATGGAAAATGTCCTTTACAAATTTTGTCGTTAAATATCCTTGAATATTTTCAATTTTTTTTTCAAAATTTGAACAAATTATTGTTTGAGGACTAATATACGCACGACCTCATCATCGAATTTCGTCCTGCAAACTTTATTAACTTAAAAAGATTAAATTTATTAAAAGCGCATTTTCAATACATATTCGTCCTTGTAAACCAAAAAACTTGATTATTTTTAAATTCTACAGAGTTTTATCTCTTATTTTCTCTCTCCTGGCGTCAGAATGAAAAATTTAAAACTCAGGTTTACTATATTTGGCCCATAGTTTCGCGAGTTTATGGATTCTTTCGAGTGTTTTGAATTTTTTTTTGTTTTTGTCGCACGGTGTAATATTCACCATGACCACCACTTTATTCTTGAATAACTTTCGGAGGAGAAAATTTATCGAAAAATCATAGCATACCTTTTTTGTAGAACGATAAATTTGCATTGGTCATAGCTGTACGCTTATTTGCTTCATAAAAAATAGATTAAATGCAAAAAGTCCCAAAATCCCATGTTATTTAAATGGGATATGAACATAATTTCGGCAAGGTTTAATTTGAAAATTAAGACTTTTTCGAATTGGATAATTTTGTTTACAGCAAAAATTCTAAATTCATGAGTCGGCAGCAAAAAAAAACAAATTGGGAAATAATGGAAACCCTAATGCACCATATCAGCTCTTCACCACCTGCTTTGAACTCGCTCAGAATTGCTCTTTGGTGTATTGAATAGAGACACCTTCATTCAGACAATTCAAAACTTAAGAATTGGAAAAAAATCTAATGGGAATCCAATTAAGAACGGCATCTCTAGTGCGCAACGAGTTCAAGTCTTGTTAATTCACAAATTTCATAGTTTAATTTTTTATACTACTATACTCATACATATATTTCGCACAAAATATAATCAGTCATCTTATCTTTTGTTTACAGAATTTCAAAGATATTTTGCTTTAGTCACAAAGGGCATGGATTGTACATGGCAACACCCACCGAAATTCAGAAATTCACAATATCATCAGAATTCTGGTAAATCTACATACATGAGCGGTAAATTATGTTAATAAAACATATTACAATTATTACAGTCAATTCATTTTGGAGATGATGGGTGAGTTATATACGTCACATGAAATGCCTGAGCAGCCGAAAGAGAGCTTTTTCAAAGGACTATTTGGGGGCGGAGCAAAAAGTTTGGACAGAGAGGAACTCTGTAAGTATTCTATTACTGAAAGGGATTAAAATATTTTGACCGTTTCACCATTATTTTATCTCAATGTAACGATAAACAGGTTTACAGTTTAACAGATGTAAACCTAATGTTTTGCATTAAAGTGAATTGATATTGAATGTCGCTGTCGAAGGTCCCATTGAGGTACCTCAGAAGATTGCTTTAGGGTCTAGCGATTGCCATTCATGAGAACCTTATTTGTTACCAGCGAAAAACAAATTTTTTCTTAACTAAAGCTATTAAAATGCATGCGGCAATGCTTCCGTCTTAGAACCTACTTACACATTTTGTGATCTTTTTCGGTTCCATCTACATTGGTCGCATTTGCCTCGAGATTATGGTGTTCGCTTATTCGGCTATTTTCAAAACCGGTTTTCGAGTTACTCGAAAAATTTAAATTTGAAAAAAAAAACGGATCCCGATTTTGTAATTAAAAAAAAAACAGATAAACCGGTTTTATTTTAAATAGTTTTCATACAGTGCAAACGCTTATGTTAGTATGAAGTCATGACCAAAACAAAGCAAAATAAGTTCAAAGTTTTTTTATCAAGTAAAACAAATGAAAATCAGTAAAAAATTCACATTTGGTCTTGTTTTAACATTAAATTATTTGTTTTTTTCTGACTTTTTCGGATGTGAGTACTGCTCTTGCCGCCATAGCTGAGTGCTTAGATGATCCTTCGGGTTTTATTTCTGGTCCCAGCAACATCAAAAAAAAAATATATATATTTTTCAAATAGCGCCTTCTTTCCTTTTCAAAGTCGGTTAAAAATAATGAAAAAATTGCGTTTTTGGTGCAAAGACGAAATCGCATTTTAAAATTTGCATGCAATTAACTAACAAATTTTTACTCAATAACAACCACGCTGTCAGGTTGAAATCGCGGCAAATCAGCTGCACTTGATGGTAGTAGGTTGAATAAGGAAATGAATTAGCAACAAGAGATTGCAGGGTGTGCATAGCTCAGTGGTTGGCGCTTCTGACTTTGCACATCGATGATGCCGGTTCGATCCCTGCTTAAGTCTAGAAAAAGAAGCCTGGTGAGATGTGGTGATCTCCGAAATTGCTGTTATAACTTCTACCGCTTAGACTTTGTTGTTTTTTCCATTTTTCCTAATAAACAAAATCGTGGTGCAAAGCTCAATAACAATATTAAAACAAATTTTTATTTTAACTCCTCTATAAGTTTATAATAAACTTAGTGAAATATAAATTTCTTTGTAGGGCTCAATACAACTCAATTGTTACAATAACAAGTAATTTTTAAGAAAAAAATACAACCGACTTCAATTCTTACATACAATTTTAGAAATAATTTCTTGATGATCCAATGCTCGGATCTAAACCAAATTAGTATAGGTCCACTCCTGAGGCACTACCTTTCCGATAGGAAATTAATTATCGAAATCGGTTAATGTGGTCTAAAGTTATGCGGTAACATACATAAAAAAATATTCAGATGAATATTCCGATGACTTGATAACCTCCTCTTTTTTGAAGCCCATTAAAAAGAGAAAAATTATTGAGTTAAATTATTATAATGTTTTGAATAGCTATATTTTAACCTTTAATCTAATTTTTAACAAATAATCTCACCCCCCTCCCCCCCACACCCCTTAATTATGCTGTGCGTACACCCATGGTGTCACTAGAAAAAAGCACTCCCTTTCTGCTCCTAAAGAAGCCCTTGGTAACCGCTTCTAGTTAAGCATTTAAAACGCGATGCATGCAAATTTTCATTTTTTTTATTATATTTTTCTTTTTAACCGACTTCACAAAAAGGAGAAGGTTATCAATAGTCGGAATATTTTTTTCTAATATATAGTATGAGATCGCATAACGTTGGACCAGGTTTTTAAAGGTGGTCCCATACTAATTTGATTTAAATCCGATCATTGGATCACGAAGAAATTAATCGATGAGAATTGAAGTCGGTTTTGTTTTTTGGTTAAAAATTACTTGTAATGAAATAATGACGTTTTTGTAAACCATTTGATGTTTTTTTCTGGGACGCGAAATTTTAGCAAGTTTTGGCTATTTTTCTTTAGGTTACTTAATGTTCATTACTTTTTTATAAAAATTCTGCAAAGTTTGACCAAACTTTCTAACTTCTTAATCAGTAGGTCTCGAAATCTCATGCAAATGATGAGGCAACGGATTAACTAGCTAGGTTCGGCTCCGCGCCGAATGTGTTCACGGGGTGAAATGGGGGCCTCGTTCAGAGAGATAAAAGCAAAAATTACCGAAATTTATCACTCGAAGACCAAGTAATCGTACAGGATTACCCGTTAGTTCTGGGTGTCCTACGACCCACTTAAAACCAAAGCTCTCTTAGGTAAGAGCAAAAAAGATACATACAAACATACTGCAGTGTTCACAGGGCACTGGCCCGTTGGCGTACATGACAAAGGATTGGATTGCCCTTCAACAGGTTCTGCTGCAGTTGCGATGATCCTGGCTGAAAAGAAACAGTCGAGCACTTCATGTGCAAGTGTATAGCCTTCGCAATGATGAGGTTAAAGACACTCGGCAAGCCATTCCTGCAGAATGATTTAGAGCAGAGCCCGCCAAAACTTGCACATTGTGTAGTTTGCCTTCGTATTTTCACACCAACGCTAACGATGTGTAAGCACGAAGTTATGCTTTTGCTTCTCAGTCGCTGTTTAACTTTTTAAGAAGTAAGGCTGTTGCGCATGTTTACAAATAAAAACAATGGACTCAAAAGTAAACGTCCATGCTACTTTTTGTACATATAATAAGAAAAATATGCTGCAATGCTTGCTTTTCGAGCGAATTTTCACTTCGAAAAGGCTTTTTTCTTTACAAAGGCATTTTAATAATTATCACAAAGATGTAGCTTCCCTTTCCGATTCAGAAAAATTGAATTTGTTTAGCGAATCAGAAAAGAAATTATTTTTTGATGATGTCCCAGGTGAAAACACAGGGAAAAGGAATTATGAAATTAAGAAGGCATCATTTGTCGTTGCTTTGTTTTTAGCAAAACAATGCCGCCCATATGAAGATGGGGAATTTTTTTAAATCTCTTGCGAAAGAGTTTTTTGCATGTTTCGAAGGGGAAGGCAAAAAAAATATGTGACATTTTAAATTCTGTTCCATTGTCCAGACAGACAATTACGCGTAGAACCGAAAAAATAAGCGGTTATATTTTATCCGAACTCAAACTGCTTTTATAAAATTGTGAATTTTTTTCACTTTCCTTGGACGAAAGCACGGATGCAAATAACATAGGTCAACTGAGTATTTTTGTTAAGGTCATTAATAAAAATTTTGAATCCAGTGAAAATTTACTTTCGCTTTTTGCATTTCATGGCCACTTTAATGGACAAACTCTTTTTGACGCTGTCAATAAACATGTATTTTCAATATGTAGTCCAAATAAATTGAGTTCAATTTTTACGGATGGTGCCAGAAACATGGTTGGAAAAAAAACGGGTCTCATAGGACGCTTAATTAATAATAATATAAATGTGCCTGCATTTCAATGCATTATTCATCAGCAAGCTCTTTTTGCCAAAGAATTAAATCAAATCAAGGCTATGAATACTGCAGTGAGAATTATTAACAAAATAAAGGGGGGTCACAACGCGCTAACCCATAGACGATTTAGGGAGTTTCTGAAAGATCTCGGGGCAGATTATGGGGACTTGTGCATGTACACAGAGGTACGTTGGCTTAGTCGCGGCAAAAGTTTGGATCGATTTTTTACTTTGAGGGAAGAAGTTAAGCTGTTTCTGGAGCAAAATAATGAAAAAGAATTGGCAGATGCAATTAGAAACGAAGATTTTATCTCAGAACTGTCATTTTTAATTGATATAACACAATTAATAAATGAGTTGAACCTTGCTATGCAAGGACAAAAAAACATATTTTTGACCTCTTATTATACATAACTCAGTTTGAAAGAAAATTATCAATATTAGTTACACAACTTAAAAATGGAGATTGTTCTTCTCTGCTCAGAACTACTGAAGTTTTTGACCAAATACAAAACCAGCCGTTTCGAAGTAGAAAAATAAATGAATATGCTGAAGTCACCGAGTCACTCCTAAAAAATTTACAGAGTAGGTTCCAAGATTTTAAAATTATTCGAAATGTAATCGATGTTCATAACGATCCAATAAACTGCGAAATTTCACAACTAAACCCAGACCTTCGTGGTGAATTGCAGAGAATGCGCTTAGATTTCAATTTACCATTGGGAAGTGGAGAACTTTTTTGGAAAAATCTTAGTGCAGAAAAATACCCAAAAATTATAATTGAAATTTAGAAATTATACAGCATGTTTGGATCTACATAAAACTGTGAGGCTGCATTCTCACAAATGAAACTTATTCAAACCCAATGGCGCAATTCCATCAGTGATAGTCATCTGCTAGACCTAACGCGAATAAAATTATATGACAAAGAAATAAACATAGATTACTTAATGTAAAATGAAGGTTTAACCAGTTAACTTCTGATGATGAAGAAAACGGGGAACGAAATAGCACTAAAGCAGTCTTATCCTCCTTTCATGCCCAAAAATTTCTTCAAAATGAAGCTTACACCAAAAAAAATTACTCATTCGGGAGATTTTTTTTTTAAGTAAGGAAAGTTTTCTTTGATCCAGATATGGTGTTTTTTCGTGCTCGTATTGCAAATTTAAAAAAAAGTCTGAAAAAAAAAAATTGTTTTTGATTTCACCATGTCACAGTTCACTTTTTTTTTAGATCCACTGTTGAAGCGCGCACTCCGGTTGGCACACACACTTATGCAAATGTTTTTGTGTTAGTGTGGCCGGCACTGGCCTATAGAATAACACTAAGTATGTTGGGTGTGCCCACATGCCCTCTTAAACCGGCAAAAGCAAAAAAAAAACACGCTTTTTTGTTTCGCAATACTTTAGCCTAATTTTTAAGAATCCGGTTAACGGTTTACGAAGCTTGAATATATTTTCTGGAAACACTCTGCAAGACCTTTCC